ATTGCAACAGTGAGGGCAGATGCAACGGAAGATGGGGGACTGTGCTTCATACTAATACTCCTGTGCTTCTTTGAATGCTCCAAATTTTACTTCTCCTTCATATTCAGATGACCACCTAAAAGTCAGACCATGTTAATAAAACAGATTTGGCCTCCGTCTCTCTGCTTGCTTTCCCCAGATAAATCATATGCCTGGGAACAGAAGGTGTGGGGCACAATCCTTAATGACCCAAGAGCTATGCTTGACACTTTGGGGTCAATCATAGCTGCTGTATAACTAAAAATCTCGTGCTGTTCTGATCTTGAAACATGCTAGATATTTATTCCTGGTCCATTCAAATCAGTCTCCAAACAATGATAAATACATTGTGGATGCAACATCAATATTAACCATTTTCCATGAAGATGCTAGAAATATAACATGTAATTATGAAAGATGAAAATTTGGAGTGATCAAAACGAGTTCTGTAATAGATGCTGTGCTCATAATCCATGCCCTGCATATGCAATTCATAGCAATATTGAATAATTAGAGGAATGCTTGTCCAATCAGCTATCACACCTCCTTAACCATCAACATTGCTTGTATTTGTTGCTGAGTCGTTTAACAAACCAATTCACCAAATACAGTAAGAGACTCTGAAAAGAAAAAGAAGTATGTCAATTTCTTGAGTGGCATGGCTCAGTCTTTGCTTGGGTTTTAGAGGCTGGTTTAGAACATGTGTGGGTAGCAATATTCCTAAAGTCCGTGTCTCAACATTGCCACCTGCTGTTCATTCCGAGTTCACACAACTACCTATCCAGAACAATGCACTGCTCACACTTTCTCCTGGTGAGAAACAGATTCCTGAGTCTGAGAGACTGTCCCCAATTCCTGGCCAAATTAAAAGGTATTAGTTGGGTTCCTGGAGTCATGAGCAAAGGCACTGGGTGACTGTTCTCAATGGACACCTAGGTGATCCCTACAGCTTACTGAATTTCAAAGCTTGGACAGTATATTGACTTGTAGAATTTGTGTATGTTTTTTTGCTCTACTGTAGCCCCAGAATTTAGACAGTGCCTGTCACAGAGTACTTGTTTAATATTTAATAAATTAATGAATATATAAAAATAAAGGGTAGTTATTGCCATACATTTACTACATTAAGCAATGTATTCAGTAGCTTCAATAAAAGAATTATTTATCCAATCTAGAATTGGTAGAGAGAGAAATGAATAAAAGTGAAAGGAAATGGAGAGATGATTGTAATAATAAACATATAATAGAAGTTTGGCTGAGTAATATATATGATATAAAGACTACTAACAGCCCATTCTGTAGGTAAAATTCACACTCATCTTTTCTATGGTTCAAGGTTGAAAAATATTTTTTGATGTGTGTATGTGGGGGAGGGCGGTTCTGGACACATTTGTGTGCATGAGTATGTAGAGGCCAGAGAAGATATTAGGTGTCCTGCTCCATCTCTCTCTGCCTTATTCCCTTAAGATGGGGGGGTCTCTCAATGAACCTGGAGCTAGGTTTGTTGCCAGCAAACCCTCTATTATCCTATCTCCATCTTCCACAGCTCTGGAGTTACAGGTACGTACAACCATGCCCAGCTTTTCATGTGAGTCCTGGGAACTCGGGTCCTCATGCTTGTGTGGCAAGTTCCCTTAGTATTCCCTTAGTCATTGCTCCAGCCCCTCGAAAAGCATGCTTTACAACTGTGTATTTCACTTTTTTCTTTTATTTATCATTTTTTTATTTTTGGTGTATGAGTGTATTTCCCATTTTTTATTTTTGGGGTATGAGTGCACCTGTATGTAAGTGCACCCACACTGTTCAATACCTGTAGAGGTCAGAAGAGGGCATCAGATCCCCTGGAACCGGAGTTATAGACAGTTGTTAGCCACCATGTAGGTGCTGGGAATCAAACCCGGGTCCTCTACAAGAGCAGCCAGTGCTCTTAACCATTGAGCCCTCTCCAGTCCCATGTACTTCACTGTTTAATAAGTATTCACACTGTTCCAGTTACTCATCACTACAGCACTAACATTCTTTTCCACAATAGCACTTGATACAGAACTTAGAAAAATATTTCAATCAAGTGATTTTGCTTGCTGAATAATAATTCCACTATCAGAAACAGAATGGTCTTTGTGCAAAGTACTTTTCTTAAGCAGAGACTTCTTTTTTCTTTCTATAGTACTAATAGCCAGAGTTGCATTCACTCTTTAACACTTTTCATTTGTACGCCAAGAATGAATGGCCTGCCCCTCTTTACCAGGGCACCTTTCTCAGTGCAGTGTCCGTAGCTAGTAATCTTCAGATTTGAGGTTATGTCTCCCCCTGAGAAAAATAGAAGGCTTGCTTACTGCTTGCTATAAAACAGCAGATTCCCTACTTAGGGCGTCTCTCCTGCACCCCTCAGTCTATGGGCAGACACACACCAGAACTCATCTCTATCACCCCTATTGAAATTGGGGCTTACAGAGCTCATGCGCCATGTGGTCACCCCATTACTACTTTGCTACAGCCATCGTTCAGCTCTGACTCAAACCCTGTGTGTTCTGTCAGCATCTATGAAACTATAACAGGTTACCATGTGAGCTTGAAAGTAGGGTAAAATCTCAGGCCCCTCAATGTTGAGAGCATGATGTCATCTAAGAACAAGAATACTCACAGTGAGGAAGCCCAGATTACTGAACATAAATCATAGAGAATTTTCAAAAGGAAAATACAAGGCTGTAGAGATAAACAACTGATTATATAAATTTAAAATTACCTACCTACTAGTGGAAACAGAACTTCTAGCCTAGAAAAAAATATTTGGAGTACTTTTGAGATTGCAGTAATTTAAAAAATCCAGAACTTTAGATATTTATTATGAGTTTTAATAAAAAATTGAGTAAAGTAGCAAGATTTTTATAAAATTTGAAATTCTAAAATATGAATTAAAAAGAAAAATACCATTTATAAGTCATGAGCAAAAGTTTCATTCTTAGCTTCATGAACAACCCTCCATATAATTTTACCATTTTTCGTATTTTCAGAGCATAGAAAGAATGCACTTTGATGCATGAGTACTCACACACTCTATAAACACCAGCTTCTACTTTTGCTGCGGTAAAAGTACCCATCATTTTTCATCCTGAGTTCTTAGCTTTCAACTTGGAAATGATTTCTTAATACTTGGAAAAGTAAGAAAAAGTTCTAAATCTTTCTGTGTGCTATTTGGCCACAGAAAAGCCTATATTACAGGTTAACCTCAGCTGAGTTTATGATTTGAATAGTTTTCATGCTATGGCAGTCAAATGATGAGCTCTAGTCTTTGGCACTGACAAATGTGAATTCTCTTCTCCAGATCAGATTTATATTATTGTAGGAGTTTCAGAATATATCCACTCTTCTCCCTCCCTCCCCCTTCTTCCCTCTTCTTTTTCTTTACTTTTACAAGAAGTATTCTTGCAGGGCCCGGAAATAATGTCAGATAACAAATATCCCTGGCAAGGTATCAAATAATGAAAGTAGAGAAAGCAAGATAAAGAAAGGAGAAAACAAGAGAGAAGAAGAGAGAGAGGAGAGACAGTCTACATTTCACAAGGCTGTGAACTACACAGTTTCTGCTAGATACATTGTTTTATAGAAACATGTTCTATCATTCTTTCCATTAGCAACAGTAACAGCTGACTTGGAGATGGCTTACTCATCCTGTAGGCTGAAGGTGTGATGTGAATTTAAAACCTCTTACTTAAAAATTGGACTGCTGAAGAAAATCATAATTCACATCTGACATCTACTTAGTTTAAGATCTCTAGTCATATGCAGCATCTGTTTCCTCTCTTAAAACAATGAAATCCTAAGCAGATCATAATTAAACAATAAATATTCCTTAACATAATAAGTATAATTCTAGCATCTGTGTCTTTGCATTTTACTATCCATCTTCTCAAAAGTTTCTTATTAGTAAAGACTTTCAAGGTTTAGTAACTGTAGTTCATTGTACTCAAGGTACCAGTGCTGTGATTTCAGACCACAGTATACAAAGCTTCCTGGGGGTTCCACATTCATTACCCATCACCTAGTCTATTTTAACATCAGTTAAACAATTCCATTGTAGAAGTTTTGAGGTATTTGTTACAATGACAAAGGCAGGAAAACTTTCAAATAACATCACCAGCTGCACATGAACTGCACCCAATTGATGTCACCACACACAGGGCCACCTGCTATAACCAACAGTGGTTGCATCATCCAGGAGAAGCCACATACTTCTCCAACTCAAGACCTGTCAATGGTCTGCATCAAGGCTTCCCCATGATTTATTTAAAAAGACAAGACCATGGAAGAAGAGTTGGGCTGAGATAGAGTCTGGCCTTATCGCTTCATATCCAGAAGGCTTATAATATGCACATTTCTACCTAATAAATTTTTTTTTTTAAAGAACGAAAGTGACCTTGCAGTACAGCTCAGTTGGTAGAGTGCTTGCCTTGAAGGCACAAAGTTCTAGGTCAAGTCCCCAATATCATATTAACTGGGTGTGGCAGAGCATGCCTATAATCCCAGCACTTGGGGAATGGAGGTGGGAGGGTGGGGAGATCAAGGTCATCCTTGGCTACACAAGGAGTTCAAGGTCAGCTTGAGCTACATGAGAACTCGTCTCTTAAGAAAATGTTTGGGAAACATTTTTAAGATTTTTTTAACATGATATATTTTCTAATAATTCCCTTCCCATGAAAATGTTATGATAAAGTTACAAGTGTCTCCAACAAACACCAGTGTCAGCTCTAAAATAAAACGTTTTTGTGGCTATTTTTAAAGTAACTCCTTATATATAAATTCAGTCTCTAAGTTGTAAGAAACAACTAATGTCCACGGAATCTATTTCTAAAACTTTTCTTTGCTTCTATTAATTTTTGAGATTCTACATGGAGTTTTGTCTTCTGCAACATGCCACAGCTTGAGAAAGTCTTTACTAGTTAGCCAAATACCTAAAAATTATCATCTTAACCCACACTGACCTTGTTAGCACTGTTAAAAAAACTGTTTGCCATTGTTAACCAGATTTTCCTTTCCGTCATGAGTTGACCAAACTCTTCCTGAAGCCGATTCAGTTTCTGGTTAGAGAGCCGTAGGTGTTCTTTCTCTGCAAAATCTTTTGACAAGAGAATCCCCAGCGCCTCGTTCTTCAGGTTCTCTACAGTGGAATTCCATCCCTACAAGAGAGCATTCTTTTTAGTGATGGTAGTAGGAGGTGAAGACTTTGGGAGGTTATTAAGTCAGAGGGTGGAGCCTTTGTGAATAGAATCTGTGCCCTGTTATCCAACAGAGGGCCAAGAGAGCTCCAGCCCACCTTCCACTATGTGAGGAAAAGTTGGCAGTCGGCAACCCAGTGAAGAGCCCTCATAATGCACACTGTTCCCTTCCTGATCTCGATCTTCCAGCTTCCAAAACCCTGAGAAATACATCGATTTTGTTTATGAGCCACCCTGTCTGTTACTCTGCTGTCCACGTTACTCTGTTACAGCAATAGAATTAAGACGCCCCCTTTGTAAGCACTGGTAAGATTCATAGAACATCAGAAGAGTTGAATCTTCCATTATATTTCCAAATCATAAAGTCTATTAAACCCAGTAGTAGTGTAAACATTACAGTATGGGTTTGACTATGAACATGTAGTTACAATAGAAAACAGTGCAGAAAAGAAGCTTAAAAGGAGAGAATACAAGAGGGGAAAATGGCAGAGTTGAGATGAGTGACCCTGGATGCAGGTCACTTCCATTCCTGTTACTTCTACCATAGACAAACCCAACATACACTTAAGAGCATTTTTGAAATCTCTAACTCATTTTGTTCTATTTGTGCTCATCTAAGTATGAAAAAGTATCTCTCCCACAATTCAGTCTTCCTGTTAATAGAGGTAAATATGTTCAAGAAAGGAAAAGAAATTGCATGTTGATGGCTACATTTTGTCTGCCTAAATGGAAAGAGATTAAGATCTATTACCAAAAAAAAAAATACCCGCTAGTGTGCAGTATCTTCTTCTTCTTGATCCTAGCTTCATCTATCAATGCTTCATAGTTAATGATATATAAGCATCTCAGAAAAAGAGGTAGTTTCCTACTTTATATGGCATAGGGATTAAAAACAACAAATAGAAAAGAACAAAGAGTTGGAGAGACTCAATATCTATGTTACTTTCTTGAGGAAATTCAAATTTCTTGAAAATGGATTTAACATGCTATTATTCAACATCATAAAATAACAATTATCTCTAAGATGGCCATCTTGTTAATGTATTTTCTGGTACCCAGCTTAGCTGAGGTTGAGTGGAAAGCATGGACATTTCTCAAAGCACAAGAAATTTAGCACCAGCCTTCAAATATCTCAGCCTGGCTCTATTCTGGCCTGTTCTCTGTGCAAAATTTCCTATTATGAAATTACCTTTTTATATTATAGTATATAAAATAAGTAAAATTTTAAGGATTTATTTATTTTTATCCTATGTATATTAGTGTTTTGCCTGTATTTATGTAAGTGTGCCACATGCATGCCTGGTGCCCACAGAGGCCAGAAGAGAACATGGGATTTTCTGGATCTAGTGTTACAGATGGTTGTGAGTGCCATGTGGATGCTGGGAACAGAACTCAGGTCCTTTGCAAGGGCATGCTCTTAACCTTGAGCCATCTCTCCAGTCCCTAAGTATAATTTAAGTGCAGTGTACTACCACAGTTTCCATGAATTTCACAAGGCACACTGAGTATTATGTACACGGCACTGTTAGAGAATGTAAAGGAAAAAAAGTTTCATCCTTTATCAATATGTAAATTGCCATTATATATAGCATTTCTATATACTTACATTATGAAATATTAAGTATATATGGTTTTAAATATATACAATATTATATTTAAAAATATTTAAATATTTAAAAACATATTTAAAAAATATATTTAAAAAAATACTTAAATATTTAAAAATATACAATCCAGTTCCAGGGGATCCAACAGCCTCGTCTGTCCTCCACAGGTATTGCACCATGCAGGTGCCTTTACTTACATGCAGGCAATACATTCATACACATAAAATAAAAATAATCAATATTTTTTAAAATACATACAATGTATAAATGCTTTACACAACAGTTGGTGGGTCTAGATGGTAGAGACAACATACATTCTTTTGTAGTCTCCGTAGACCCTTTTCTAGTATTTGTTCAAGAGAAAAATGTCTGGTCACGAGACCTGAAAATAAGGAAGGAAGGTTGGGGTTGGCATTCGAGTGGCGAGGAAGAAGACCGCTGCAGGGTGAGGCTTGTAACCATCATCTTCAAAGATCTTTAGGTTGGATAATTTTCTAATATTTATACAGGCTCAGAAGAGTATGCCAAGAAGAAGCAATACCCGGACTAGTTCATCTCTTGTATCATGCTACCTTCAAGGAACTGAGGATAGAGATACAGACTCTCTAAATTTCTCAACGTATGAGGAAGCCATACTTGCAGGCACAGGCTATGGGTCCGTGAATTCTCAAAATCATTCATATTTTAAAGAATTTTGTATTTCCCCTTGAACAAAACAAATATATTCAAGACATTCTTTCCTAAAGTATGGTAGATACCCCTCCCACTAAAAAAAACAAAAAAAAAACAACAACAAAAAAAAAACAAAAAATAAAAAACCTGTTAGGAATGAGCAGATATTGCTAAAGTGGCACAATTCCCAGCACATATATTGGCACTTACCATTTTTCTTCCCTCAGTTATATCACAGCTTGTTAGGACCCCAAATCATTTATGGGTACTCAGTTCTCAGCCAAGTGTGGTAGGTTCCTAAATGTTACTGGGAAGCATGAGAAGTGTTGAGCAGAATGGGATTTTGTGTCCCAGCACACCTCAGATCTCTAACATGCTGGTATATGTGCAGACACCACTGGAGGGCAATGTCATGTGAAATGTTTCCAGCAAACTTTCTAGACCTAGAAACCCTTTGTTTGCTAATCATTTCAGGAGACCAATTGCCCAGCTGGAATAATATTGGGAACCACCTACTGGTTCACTGCCAACCCAAGCCTTTTGGTTTCCTTCTTTTCTTGTATTTTTTTCTTATTTTTTGCAGTGTGTGTGTGTGTGTGTGTGTGTGTGTGTGTGTGTGTGTGCTGTTCATGTGCATGTGTATGTGTATGTATAGGGTTTTGTGTGTGGGGGTACACATGTGGGCCTGAATGTGGAAGCCCAAGGCTGATGTCAGGAATGATCTTTAATTGCTCTTCTACCTTATTCTTTGAGGTAGTTCTCTTAGTCAAACCCAGAGCTCACTGGCCAACTTGCTCTGGGGATTCCCTGTCTCCACCTTCCAAGGTTGGAAATACAGGTCATTTACATGCAGTTCAAACTCTGACCCGATGTCTATCTGTTCTTTCCTTATGCCTTTAGCTGCTCATTCAGTTAATTTCTACTCTTTGTGCCATTATTTCTTTAGTGTGTTAAGATCTGTGGGACATTGAATCTTGAACTCAGGTGAAGAAATTCTTAAGATGCAGAATAAAACAGGTGATCCTTTAAATAATAATAATAATAATAATAATAATAATATTAAAGACATTGACCAAAGCCTTCTGTGCTCATTGGGGAAAAAAAAAATCCTTAAAAAATATGAAAAACCTGGGGAGTGCTTAGCATGCTGAGTCAAAGGAAAATGCAGAAAAAAAAAATTAGGATATGGGGAAACAATTCACAGCCATTGTATGTTCTGCCCAACAGCATGAACCTTTTCCTTCCTACATGACAGTGCTCTGCCAAGGGCTTTATATGTATTGTCTCTCTAGCTTCATGCCACTACAAGAGCCAAGCTATTATTACCCACATTTTAACAATGGGGTAACCAGGGCTCAGAGGAATTATACACTTCCAAATGTCTCAGCACTAGTAAGTGAAAGACTCAAACTCTGAACTCTGGTAATTATTTTTCCAGTATCTCAACCCGAACTCTTTGCAGAGGATGATACAAGATTTTTTTCCCAAAATGGAAGGATTTTCTGTATTAATTGAGGGCTACCAAGATAAAACGTCTATAGAGTCCTAAGGCCTTAAAGATGATAAAAGCCTTACATGACCCTGGGATTTTCTAATTTGTTATCAGAAGCCTCACTATTTCAAAATAAACACCAGGCTATTATAGATATAATTGCAAATTTACTACCCAAACTCAGGCTTAATTTTGCTTAGCAATTGGACAAAATAATAAAGCTCTTTTCTATAAATAAGGAGAAAAGTGCCTGTTTCTAACAATGTTCATAAATCTGCCTTTAGAACAAACTTTACAAACAACATGAGAGAAAGCCTTTTGGCATCAAGGCAACTGTGTGAAAACCCACTCTAACTTGATGCTTTGGATCACACTAGAAAAGCGGGCTATGACCTTCCAAAGAAACTGCAATGAACCACGTTGTGGCTGTTATCTTTCTTTATTCTTAATTACATTTTTCACAAGGACTCTGTGGGCATTAAATGAAGCTAGGTGTATTCAATATTTCTATTCAATCTTCTCAGAAAATTGGCTCTGTCTACTTTGGGCAATCTGTAGGCAGTTTTTGATGCAATTCTATACCATTGTGATGATGTATTTGCCCAGGCATTTTTCAGAGGGGACACTTTAACTAAAGATAAAACTTTCTAGAGTCATCTGAATCCATCACACTTTTAAAAAATATATGGTTGTCAACATTGTCAAGGCTGGAGGAGCCCAATGGAGAAAATCTTAGTTCTTTTTCTCTAAGCTGCTCCTGCTGCCTCCTAAGTGTTAAACTTCTTACAGGATTTCAGTCACTTTGCAATAAAATATTTCCACCGTGTGTCCCCACCAGCAGAAAGCCAGAGCCTGCCATTTCCTTGGCTTTCTGGTTTGACAGAGGTATATGCATATCTCTGACCCAATAAAGCCACATGACAGTATGTGTTCCTCGGCTCAGGGTGTCTCTATATGTCGTTCCATTAATGCCATTCATCACTCACAGTAGTAGCCCTTTTAAACTGTACCTTTCAGTATTCCATTTGCTGTAGAAATTGAGCTTCTCTTGGCTCCTTTGATTGAAAGGGTACTTTTAAGAGGATTAGTGGCTGATAGACAAGAAGGGGGAAAAGATTTCTTTTTTTCATTCTTTCTTTTTTGTTATAGTCCTAAGTTAGCTCTTCAAATGAAGTTATGGATTGTCATAA